CGCCGGTCGTTGAGCCCCAGCACGCCGTTCGTGGGCGGCAGCAGGCCCGCGCCCGCCTGGAACGGCGCGTAGACGTCTTCGTTGTCCGCATACACCGCGGCTAGATCCGCGCGCGAGTCGGCAGTCAGCCAGCCGTCCGGCAGCGCCTGTGCCGCTGCGAGCGCGCGCACGATATCGCGCGTGTTGTTGACACCACGTACACCGAACGAGATGCCCTCGTCCAGGTTGTTGTTCAGCAGCACGCTTACGTTGTGCACAAACTTGCCGCGCAAAAACGCACGCTGCAGGTCGTCGCTCACCAGCTCGCCGTCGACCACAGGGTTGAACTTGGTGTACGCCGCACTGTTCGCCATGCTCCACTGCTTGATCGTCTCCAGCGGCACGGCGCGCAGGCAGTCGAGCGTGCTATTGCCCGTGCAGTTGGCGTGACCGGCAAGCGAGCGCCAGAGAGCGTTCCACGTAGCGGTGTTGTTGGCGGTGGCGAGCTGTGTGCCCCAGTATCCGCTCTGCACCGCGACGGAGCGGAATAGCCTGTCGTCGCGCCCGCCGAACGCCGCGAGGTGCAGCAGCATGCTCGCGCCACCCGCCGACTCGCCGAGGATGCTCACGCGCTCCCTGTCGCCGCCGAACGCCTCGATGTTCTCCCTCACCCAGTGCAGCGCCAGCCGCTGGTCGTAGAGCCCGAGGTTCTGCACGCCCACGTGCTTCGCCTCGTCGCCCACCGGGAAGCCGAGCACGCTGGTGCGGTAGTTGAGACTGACAAAGATCATCGGCTGCCCGAGTTGGACGGCCTTGTCGACGACAAAGCTGCCGTTGTACCGGCGGTCGCCCGAGCCGCCAAAGCCGAACCCGCCGCCGTGGATCCACACCCACACGGGCAGCTTGGCGCCCGCGTTGGCCGGCCGGACGACGTTGAGCGTCAAGCACCGCTCGCCGAGCTTGTACGTCACGTAGGGCGGGCTGTAGTCGTTGTCCACCCCCACGCCGAAACAGTGCTCCGAGTAGCGCTTGGCCGCACGCACGCCGTCCCAGCTCTCGTTCAGCCCGACAGGACGGCGAAAGCGCAGCGAGTCCACCGGCTGCTGCGCGTACGGGATGCCGAGGAACACGTGCTGTTCGTGCGCGGTGCCGATGCGCGAGAGCGTGGCGTTGGCCGAGATGGGTGGGAGGGTGACACCGGCGTACGAGCCGTTGCGGACACGGACGATCGGGTCGGAGGGGGACGTGGGCAGCGGGTCGATGAAGTTGCCGAGGTTGGTGCAGCCGGTGCAGTCGGCCGTGTTGTTCGTGTTGTTCGCGGTGGAGCGCGGGAGGAGCGAGGGCGGTGAGGGGAGCGCGTGCGTCGAGAGTGCTAGCCAGAGCGCTGCGAGCGCAGGGACGAGGTGGATGATCGACCGCATGGTTGTTCGCAGGGTTGATGGTGTGGAAAGACTGAAAGCGTACACTGACCCCTGTGCTTCTACTTATACATTATTGCCAGTAGCCAGTCGACGATCGACAGAACCCCATCCTAAACCGAAACAGGGCCACGCTCAGAGAACATGGACACTCGCAGACCCCTCGCATCCATCCTCGGCTCCCACCAAACCACGCGGAAACACCTGCGATACGATAAGCGAGACGAGCATGCCAGAGGCGATGGCCCCAGATCCGAGCGAGAGCTTGAGTCTGCGCTTGATGCATGACGGCCTTCGCTTGTTCGCTTCCAAGGGATCAGCCTCCGCCCCCGCGCGGGGGTTTGCAGGCGAAAGGGTCATTTTGCGGGGGAAAGAGAAAAAACACTCCGAGATTGCCGGCAGGGCGAGCGTAATTGACCAGTGACTCGTCGATGCGGTGCGGCTCGCAGATTCGTTGGCCATGGCTCGCTTGTGTGCGGTCAGTCTGCAGCGGTCGCGAAAGGCCCTTGATGTGATGCTCGGCTGCTCATTGTGGAGAGACTGGCTCCACTCGGACAAACTCTGGCCTGAAATAGAAGGGTATACAATTGTCCGTTGGTGCCATCTCCACAATCAACTCGCCGCCAGAGTCGCAAGCGAGTAGTATCTTGGCGGGAACGCCTGTTCGTCCACCCACAGCATGCCCTCCCTAAGCGACATGTTTTCGAGCACCGCTCTCGCACGCTCCCTCGTCCAACCACGTGCCCTCTGCCCTGCCACCAGCGTGTCTTCTGTCAAGAACGCCAGTTCGCCTGCATTCGTCTCTGCTGATGAGAGCAACATGCCGAGCACGACCATCGTATCTGTATCCAGCTCCCTCGGTACGCTGCGAACCATCTTCTGATCGCCATTGCCGAGCGAGAACACCTCATACCCGCAACCTAGCGGTGCGAGCATCTTGATGCTGCGAACGATGTCTTCCTCCGTGATCTCCGGTGCTGCGTCTTTGCCTTTTCCCACAGCGGTCGGTGCTGGTCTGGAACTCGTCCCGCCCGTCCGCAGCATCGTCACCCTCCTGATCAGATCGTCCATCGCAATCACGCCACCGTTGCTGTTGCGCGTGCTGACGCACACATCGATGATCTGTACCCCTAATTCGTACTGCCAGTCTCCGAGCCCGAGCATGTCGCTCCACAGCCCTGCGAGACCGCCCGAGCTGCGCGACGACGACGAGAGCGGATCGACGCCGATGCTGTAGCACATCTTCTGGAACGCGTGCCGGAATTCGGCATTCTTGCGGATCTCGTTGCGATGCTGGCTCGAGAACTGGCGCAGCGAGGTGCTGAAGAGGTCGAGCTGTTGGCGCAGTTCGGCGAGTTGCGAGGCGGTAAGGTCGTTGCCGAGCGTGTTGTACGCGGTGTTGGAGTGGATGGAGCGGTCGAGCGCTGCTAAACCGGGGCCTCGACGCATTGTTGCTGAGGATGGAGTGGTGCTGGTCTGTCAAGTGGTGGTGATAAGGAGGACAGGATGAGGAGCACAGACGAGGCTCCACATTTTACATCCCGAATTCCGACGCTTTTTTCCAGATGGTCCAAGCGTCCTTTTCTGCCACACTTTCTTCTTGCTCCTCTACCACGACCAACCATCACCAACGCTCGCCCTGAACATGTGGACATGGTGGCAGGCTTCGCACACGCCGCCATCTCCAAGGGCCTCATCATCGTCGTCTCCATCACCACCGTCCTCGTCGCGCTCTTCCAACTCAAACCCTTCGTGCACCTGCAACTCGTCCCGCACCTCTACACGCACCACCAGTGGTATCGACTGGTAACGCAGCATTTCGCATTCACAAACTCGTCCGAGCTGCTGCTGGCGCTGCTGCTGTTGTACAATGCGGGCGTCAAAGTGGAGAGGACGTTCGGGACGGTCAAGTTTGCCGGCTTTCTGGTGGTGACGACGGCGATGTATACTGCGATGCAGGTGGTGGTGCTGGGGGTGGGGTCGATGGTGTTTGCGGGTGAAGGATCTTGGGTGACGCAGGGTCGCACACCGGCAGGGCCGTGGGGGCCCCTGTTCGCCATCCTCTGGCAACACCACTGCATCGTCCCGCACCTCTGGTCGGTCCAAGTCGGCCCGCTCGTCTTGACGGACAAACACATCCAGACACACTCGCTCTCCCTCCTCCTCGCCCTCTCACAGCCAACATCGTCCCTCTTTGCAGCCTCCCTCGCCATCCTCGCCTCGGCACTCTACCGCTCCGACAGCCCGCTCCTCTGCGCCCTCAAGCAGTACCGCATCCCACCGCGCATCTATCGCATCCTCGCGCTGCTGCTCAGGCCCTGGATCGGATCGACACGGCTGCCGCAGCGATCGTGGCGCGCTGAAGCGCCGATTCGCAGGACGCTGCAGGTGAGGGAGGCGCGGTTGGCCGAGCACAATGCGGCGGTGGCGAGTCTGAATCGGTCAGGCGGAGGCGTGGGTGCACTGGGTGGGTCGAGGATTGCGAGTTTGTTGAGGAGGACGGCGACGGTGGGGGTGCCGGTGGGCCAGGGGCAGGGTATGGCTGGGATTGGGCAGCAGATGCCGTCGTCGGTGGCAGGGCAGGATGCGAGGACAGGTTGGAACGATGTACCACCACCACCACCGCAAGATGGAGGAGCCCGTGGAGGAAACGCATCGCAGCCATCTTAGAGTCCATCTCTGTAAAGCAATCCCGTGTTACCGTTTCGATCTCATACATGCCCGTCCACAGCGTCTCCCATTCACTGCAACGTCTCCGCTCTCCCTCGGTCACCATCACAAGCGCTTCGTCCGAGATCATCGAAAGGAAAATAGAAAATATACCCTACACATTATGATGACATACCGCCGCTCCTCCTTATATCGTTGAGCGCTCTTGGCGTAGTGGTAGCGCGTGTCTCTCCTACGTATCATGCGTTCGATGCGAGTGTGTAGGATTCCTGCAAGACGAGGTCGTGGGTTCGACCCCCACAGGGCGCTTTGCTTTGTCTTTTTTTTGGAAGTTGGACCCAGGAAGAATCGAGGCTGGAGCACGCGTAGAGCGAGTGAGTGAAAGCGTAAAGTGCGGAATCTGATTTTTTGGATCGTGACGCGCGCGCTCTTCGACAGTCCAAAGTTTGGTGTTGGTCTCGTACACTTTGCCAGCTTCTGCCATCATCGTCATCATCATCATCATCAGCAGCAGCAGCAGCAATAGCATCCGATCCACGACTCGCATAGACACACTCTTTCTATGCGCCCCGCGCCCTCCTTCCCACCGCCACTATGAGCGAAAGCCTAAAAAGCTGGCTCTTCTCGCACTGCGCGACGCAGACCACCTCCGCCCTCTCCCACAACTGCGACTTGCACGATATGCCCTACCTGTCAGGCAACCGCATCCAGATCCTGCGCTTCCTCACCTTCCGCCCGGCGCAGACGCCCAACACGCCCTCGACAGACGTATGGGCGCTCGTGGGCGACCGGACGCACTGCGTCACGGCGCGCTTCGCACGCACGCAGGTCGACCGGTTCCACGACACGCACGCGCTCACGTTCACCTCCCTTAAAGGTGCGCTAGTCACGCTGACCAACGTCCGGGTCAGCGTCGCGCGTGTGCAGGTGCATGGCGAAGCCGGCGGTCCGTACAGGGCGGGGCAGTGGGCGCTCGTGCTCGATGTCAAGGGGTGGGACGTGGTGAGCAGTGTCCGGGAGCCGGTGTGGTTTGGGGGCGTGAAGCTGGTGACGAGTGGGAACGGGGTGCCGGCGGGGGAGGCGGAGAAGTATGTGGGGATGGTGGCGTGGATGAAGACGTGGATCCGGTGGCGGTGCTTGATGCGGCGCGCGCGCGAGGAGCAACGCGCCAGGCGGCTGCGTCCGGACGCCTCGACAGACCCAGCAGCAGCGTCGGCGGCGGGGGTGGGACTGCCCACGCCCGCACAGCGCAACGTCCTGGCCCTGGCGTCTTCGCAAACGCCACACACCCAGCCACCACCACCAGCGCAGGAAGAGAGCTTCCCCCCGCTCTCGCCTACACAGCCAAGAGCCACGCTCGTCTCGCCCGCACTGCACGACGCGCGCGCAACAGCCCTGTGGACCGACTTCGACCTAGACGCCCCCGTTGAGCTCGACCATGTCGACGTGTCCGCCCAGTGGGCCATCGTCCCTCCAGCACCCCCTTCGCCAACGACGACGCAACCAGAAGCAGTCGCGCCCCCGCAACAACCACCGATACTGGCGCAAGCAGCGGCATCACAATCGCAGACACAGGCACAGTCGGATCTGGACCCGTACGAATCCGGCCTGTCGGACTACGAGCGCGAGTCGCGCCTCAAACGCCGGCGCGCCAAGCAGCCGCAGGAAGCTGTGGAGGAGACCAAGGGCGGTGTGCGATCACAGGAGCAGGCGGTGGGTTCAGCCGCACCGACGCAGGTAGAGGATGCTGCGGAAGGTGCTGTGCAGGTGTGCGTTGATCCGCAGGGCAAGGCGAGCTCTTTGGGAGGTGGAGCGAAGAACGCGGCACCAGAGCCGATGGACGAGTCGGAGACAAAGCTGGCTTCAGCAGTAGCATCGCCAGTAGCGCCGCCAGCACCGCCAGCACCGCCAGCTCCGTCAGCACCATCCGTCACACCACCAACAGCATTACCCGCAGCACCACCAGCACCAGCATCATCCGCATCCACCAAATCCTCGACGTCCAGCACGCACAAGCAGCAGCGCAAGCGCCAACGACGCCAAGCCGCGCTGGCTGCTCTGATGGCGCAGATCGTCGATTGACACGCAGCGCAGCGATAGAAATGCAATAGAAGCACCTTACACTCCGCTGCTTTGTCGGTTTTTGCGCCAACACGACTTTGGACAGAGGCGTCACAGATCCACAGACGGACGCACGGGCAGAGATGATTCAGTGTGTGAGAAGACGAGACGAAAGCAGGTTTTCTGTCTCGGATGATATTTTTGGGTGTGTGTGTGTGTGATGGCGTGAGGCAAAAACTAGTACACATGAGATGAAAGGGGGGGAATGCAGTAGAGAGAAGAGAAAACAAGATGGCACCAACAAGAACCGTGAAACCACTACATGCCTGTAGCAGCTTAACGGTAGCGGCGGAGCTGGAGCGTGTCGCGCTTGCGGATGGTCGAGTTCTTTCCGCCGCCCTGGGTCTTGTTGAAGCGGTGGCCCTTGCCCTGGCCCCTGCTCTTCTTGCCGGTGGCGGTAAGGCCACGGCACTCGCGGCGCTTGTGGACGGCCTTGGCGATCCAGTTGATGCGCGGGTCGCGGCGGATGGCCTTGTGCTGCGGGTCGACGGCGATGACCTCAAAGTACTTGTACACGCCGTCCTGGTTGATCCAGTACGAGTTGAGGATGCGCAGGTTGCTGCACTTGCGCCCCACGCGCTCCTCGGCCGTGGCACGCAGCGAGCGCTGGTACTTGAGGTGGTTGACACCCTGGTGGACCGGCTTGCCGTACGTGGCACCCTTGGGCACGGGCTTCTTGCGGTTACCGCGGCGGACGCGGATGCGGTACACAACGTAGCCCTGCTTGGCCTTGTAGCCGAGACGGTGTGCCTTGTCCAGACGCGAGGGGCGCGAGGCACGGTGGATCACGTTGAGCTGGCGGTACTCCCAGCAGCTGTTGTGGTGGAAATGTAGAGTCAAGTCAGTCGATTGTTGCTGGTGGGAAAATGTCGCTGAGACCACTTGGCTGACGTTGCATCTACTAGCTGCTTCCGACACGTCACGGTTTCGAGACGGAGGAGTGGCACGACGAGAGACCAGATCGGTTGGCAGGCGACGACTTGGACTCGAACAGCAGGAGCAGCGTTCTGGTTGTGACAACCATACCGCCGACATCCTTCCATCCGATACCAAGACGAATCGAGCCTGGATCACTTGCACCGCAATGTCCACAATGGGGCAAGACCGAGTTGATGGCTGGCGTCGGAGGAGGAATACGAAACAGAGCATGAGAGCTGCAAGAGCCCCTTCGCAATGTATCCGTGTTTGCGCCTCTGATGCCAATTCCACGCTCGATCGCAACCACAACAGATGAATACGACCATAAGTATCCAAACTCGAGCCATCCCAATCGTACTGCTCCCCGCGTCGTCCACAAAGCCGGCGATGGTCGAAAGAAGCCAATCGGTGCAACAGCAACAAAGTGGTCGACAGAGTGTCGCAAGGATACTAACCGAACTCGGAGAAGGAAACGGAGAACATCGCTCTGCTTCTTCTTGTAGAGCTCCTCGACGTATTTGTAGGCACCCATCTGTTGGCCGTTGCAAAGTTGGAGAATAAAGAAAAAGTTAGCACGAGCTTTCAAGCAATCGTGTGTGGGACTCAAAAGGTCAACGCCTCGCCACCGTGACTATCCTTGAGCGGTTCGCATTGGGGAGAATGCTACTACAACTCGAAGAAAGGTCGGGTGGACGAGGGTGCTAAACGTCCCGCCAGCTTAAAACGTAGCCAGCTGGTGGTGGCGGTGGGTTGCTGATGCGAATGATGCTGCTGGTGCAAGTTGCTGGTGCTGATGCATTGGTGATGCTATGTCTTTGTCCATGTCTGCGTTATCCTCTGATCATCATCTCTGCATGTCCATGCTCTGCTGCCGATGTCTGCAATTGTCCTTACTTTTGCTGGTCGGTGATGCTGTGCAAGATGCGTATGCGTGTGTGGGCTGTGTCGAGGCTGGTGCTGGCTACGTTTGCTGGTTGATGTAGATGGTGCTGGTCCTTACCTTGAATGATTCTTGATGACAGAGGTCGTAGGGTGTCGAGAAGGTAGAGCGCAGACGACGGCGACGACGAGATGGCTTTCGCACTCTCAGAGTTCTCGAGCCGATCTGGAGCTGCAAACTCGACTGCTAACACTCGTTGGAATTTCCTCTGTCTACAGACTCGTTCTCAGCTCGCAGATTTGGACTGCACACCTCAAGGCCTGACTGCAACCATGTTCAGAGCATCCAACTCAGCGAGCTCCAAACAGACTTGAGAATTTCGCGGCAGACCACCGGCCCTGGAGCAGCGAGATTCTGAAAATATAGCTGCGTAACGTGACTATCAAGCTCGGCCGAACTTGCTCTCTCAGAAAAATTATTTGGAATGTTAGTTTTGGATTTCGAGAAAAGCTTCTCGACGGCGGGTTTGCTCGACAGCGGCAGCAGAGCTTGAGAGTCTCACTCAAGAGAAAGAGTCGACTTGGCCAAGTCAGGACAGCGCTGGACGGCACAGACAGGCCCAAGTCGAGCTGCAAGCTGGCGGGTGCCATAGTCGAAGCGCTCGACGCCATCCTCCTTCCTGATCACCAAGCCTGAAGCATCAGCCTCAAGATTCTCCAAGATGGTGAGTGTTCTCCAAGTACTGACGGCGACGACAACGGCACGACTAGAATCGAACCATGATGGATGGCATGGGTGCAACAGCAGCAGCAGCAACAGCAGAAGCAACCAAGCATCGTCGATGTGACATGGCAGCAGCATTCCGTTTCAGCATAACATGATGGATAGCATGGTCTTCGCATGGACATCGTCGTTATCGTCGTCGTCAGGCAACATGTCGCGCCCCTTTCCGACAACACTGTACTAAAACCACGCCCCCACACCTTCCACCAACAAACAGCCGTTCGTCAAGACTGTCAAGTCTAGCTCCTACTTCTCTCGTTACCAGGTCAAGTACCGCCGCCGACGAGAGGGCCGCACCGATTACTACGCCCGCAAGCGTCTCGTTTCGCAGGCCAAGAACAAGTACAACGCGCCCAAGTACCGCCTCGTCGTGCGTTTCTCCAACCGCTACGTCACCTGCCAGATCGTGCACGCCAAGATCGTCGGTGACTTTGTCCTCACCCAGGCTTCCTCCAAGGAGCTGCCCCGCTACGGCGTCAAGACCGGTCTCGCCAACTGGACCGCCGCCTACGCCACTGGTCTGCTCGTCGCCCGTCGTGCGCTCAAGATCCTCGGCCTCGACGAGAAGTACGAGGGTGTCACGGAGCCCGATGGTGAGATGAGCGAG